AGTAGGAAATCCTGCTCAATCGAGGTTGTTGAGAGAGCTTGGGATAAGAGTTTCAAAGTATACCCATGAGGAGAGGAGGGATATAATCCTTAGGTACATGAAGAAAAGGAACAATAGGCAAGTAGTAGATAGATCTGTTAAGGTAATTCTCTTCTCCAAGCTTAATTGCTACCTTTTGTATTCTTCACTTATTCTATTTTGTAAAGTTAAACAGGTACATTTTGCTAATTATTGGTAATATAGCAGGTTTATTGTGTAGAATTGGGTTCTGTTAACTTTTGGATTATGTTGCTGAAACTTGAAACATGACAATTACAATTAGAACTTGCAATAGTTAGTTTGGGCCATTGTCAAGAGCTGAAAATAATGATCCATCAAACACAATTAAACTTTGCAACAAACAGTGGTATAGTTACACTGTCAATTGCTGAATTTACCTCCTCTCAATTGCGATATTCACGCTTTGTACACAAACAATAAAAATAAAAATAAAAATAAGAATAAAACCTATGCTCATGATTTGGTGATTAAAAAAATCATGATGTCAAAATTTTAAGAAATGGGATACCAACAGTCTTCTATGTTGAAGATTTTATAGAATATGCACTTGTACATTTTATAGAAGTAAGTTTGTGTTATTTTCTAGTTTAGATTCATCTGAGTAATATGAGATCCAGATCATCTGCTGTCTGAATTTTTAGAGTCCGCATTATAGTACTTGGTTATCAAAATAATAAAAGCAAAGCAGGTTCCATAAACATAATTAATTATGGTCAAGATTTGGATTCATAGATTGGGATATTTGATGCACTCGCATTAAAATGGAAAAAATTTTGTTAAGAAGTATGGTACACTATACAGAGCTTGATATATATCAATGTATCATGAGAGCTTTTTTCTGGTCTTCTACTGATGAAAAGTGCTGCACACTTCACATTAAACTTCAATAACAGGAGATAATAAGTTTTTTTTACATGCCTCCTAAGACTTTTATATGATGCAAGTATGGCTTTGTTATCTACTGTTCACAAGTGATTCAAATTTATCACTGCATTATGCATAATAAATGTCAATGGCTGACATGTGAAACTCCACTTACGAACATTAGAAATATTTTCGGTCATCTTGTGGATTCTTTATTGCTTTGCAACTAATAAATTGAATGAATTGAATGACTTAAGAGATTCATCCATTTAACATCTGTTCCCTACAGTTTCCCTCCCGTCAAGCTCTGGCAGAGAGGCGTCGACGAGGTTTTGGAGGAAAATTTCTTAGCAAGGAAGAATCACAGGTGGTGTTGAATTCATGAACTTAAATCTATTAAAACTTTGAAGTTTTATTAATGCTTGATCCGCTTATTTATCATATATGAATGGGAAGATACTTGTTTAATTTTATGTTGGTTTTGTACTGTCAAGTTCCTAGCTTATCTTCCCCTCGTCTGTAGTTATTGTGGTGTACACCTCTTAAAAATATTAATTCATTTTGTTCTTTTTACTAAATCTTCTTGCTTCAATTTGTTTTTGAAAAAATTCAAGCGGGATAACTCTTAAGTTTGACTATCAATGTTTTAGCTATTCACATTCTAACTAATTAAAATATAAAATCCCTATACATTAGGCGATTATAGTTGGTGTTGAGTAGAGTGGATAGAATATATATATATATATATATATATATAATATATATATATATATATATATATATATATATATATATTATATATATGAGATTGATGGGTGTCCTATGTCAAGGAGGGGATTTTCCTCCTTGACACATATGTGGCACAATCCCCACCAACTCACACTCTCTCTCATACTTTATGAGGATGGTGGAGATTGTGCCACGTAGGCGTCAAGGAGGGAAATCCCCTCCTTGACAAGGATACCCATTAATATCTCTCTCTCTCTCTCTCTATATATTTATATATATATATATATATATATATATATATATATATATATATATATATATATATATATATATATATATATATATATATATATATATATATATATATATATATATATATATATATATTATATGTGGAAATATGATTCTAAGGAGCCACAAACAAAAGAACAATACGTTTTTTATATGTGACACAGAAGTATGATGCCTTTCTCCTGGTACTGCGTGTGCGGGAATTGCATGAAATAACACCAAGGTTGACACTTAACAGTTAACATGTCCTGTTAATTTGTTTATTACCACACACAATTTGTCTATTGTCCTTGTTGTTTAGCTTGGTTTCGCATAGAATTACTCTTCGGTACTATCACATGCTAAATATAGGAGGACTTAATATATATTAATGACATGATATGCTATTACTTTCAAGCTACTTGATCCTTTCTAAACGTGATGAATTGTTTAGACCTTGAACAGACAAGACGAACCAGTAGAAGAAGAAGAGCCAGAAGTGCCAGAAGAAGTTATAGCAAATGCTGGAGGAGCACCAGTTGTGGGAATGCTCTTTGAAAATGATGATAAGGCATATCAATACTATATCAATTATGCCGGAAATAAAGGCTTTAGTGTTCGGAAAGGTTGGTGGGATAAATCTGCCAGAAATGTTACCCGATCGAGGGTATATGTATGTTCAAGAGAGGGGTTTCGCCCAAAAAATCCTAGTAATGAGGTGAAGAGATCTCGGCCTGAGACAAGAACTGGTTGTCCTGCACGTATGGCTATAAAAGTCACATCCAGTGGTAGATATCGTGTTACTGAGTTCGTTCCAGAGCATAACCATCAGCTTGCAGCTCCATTGGACATTCACATGCTAAAGTCTCAGAAGCCATCACTGAAAGCTCAATCTGGACGGACCCAGCAAAATGGTGGCTTAATTCCTTCTGGTTATAAAAATTATATACGTGCAAAAAGAAAGAAAGACATGAAAGTAGGAGATGCAAGAGCTATATCTGAATACTTACAGAAGATGAAGGGTGAGAATCCATCTTTCTATTGTGCTATTCAAGTTGATGAAGATGATCAAATGACCAATGTTTTCTGGGCCGATGCGAGATCTATGGCAGATTATTACTACTTTGGGGATGTAGTGTGCTTTGACACATCCTATAAGCCTCAAGACTATGGAAGACCCCTTGCACATTTTATTGGTATAAATCATCACAAGCAGCTTATTATTTTAGGTGCGGCACTTTTATATGATGAAACTGTTGAATCTTTCAAGTGGTTGTTCGAAACTTTCAAGACCGCAATGAGTGGAAAGCAACCAAAAACCCTCTTGACCGATCATTGTCCAGCAATTAGTGATGCAATAGCTGCTGTGTGGCCAGGAACTGTGCATCGGTTTTGTGTTTGGCAAATATACCAAAATTCAGTTAAGCATTTGACTAATGTGTTTGAAAGCTCGGAAACTTTTGCGCATGATTTCTGTCGTTGTTTGTATGATTTTGAGGAGGAAGAGGAGTTCCTATCAGCATGGGAAGAAATGTTAGATAAATACAGCCTTAAGGACAATGAGTGGTTGGCTATGCTATTTGCGGAGAGGGAGAAATGGTCATCGGTTTATGGTCGCCAAGCATTTTCTGCTGATATCCAGAGCACTTTACGTGGTGAGAGCTTAACTACTATGTTAAAAGAGTACCTGAACTACGAAATGGATCTAACACAGTTCTTTAAACAATATGAAAAGTCATTGAGTGAGGGGCGACATGCTGAGCTGCAAGCTGATTACCATGCAAATCAAGGCAACCCCAGGATTCCTCCTTTGCGTTTGTTGTGGCAAGCTGCTAGTGCATACACACCTGCAGTGTTTGATATGTTCAGAAGAGAGTTTGAGCTTTTCATGGATTGTATGGTTTACAATTGCGGTGAGGCTGGAACATTGTCTCAGTATGAAGTAACTACTAAACAGAAAAATAAGTCACACTTTGTTAGATTTGACTCTTCAGATGGTACCGTCATATGCACTTGCAAAAAGTTTGAGTTTGCTGGGATCCAGTGTTGTCATGTACTGAAAGTCCTTGATTTCAGAAATATTAAAGAGCTCCCGCCGCAATGCATCTTAAAGAGGTGGAGAAAAGATGCGAAGGCTGGAAGCTTTAGAGAGAATCATGGTTTTTCTCTGGATGCTGACCCTAGCTCGTCTGTGTCAAAACGTTACAATGCTCTCTGCCGCGTATTGTTCAAAATTGCAGAAAGGGCTGCTGATAACATTGACGCATTTACTCTAATGGCTAGCCAATCTGATCAGCTTCTTGATCCCGCCGCAATGCATCTTAAAGAGGTGGAGAAAAGATGCGAAGGCTGGAAGCTTTAGAGAGAATCATGGTTTTTCTCTGGATGCTGACCCTAGCTCGTCTGTGTCAAAACGTTACAATGCTCTCTGCCGCGTATTGTTCAAAATTGCAGAAAGGGCTGCTGATAACATTGACGCATTTACTCTAATGGCTAGCCAATCTGATCAGCTTCTTGAGCAAGTAGAGCATATTTTGCAAACAAAAGTGCTAGAAAAACCTTCTCTCACCAATGTCAACAAGGGACAAATTACAAATGTGGGTGAGGGGCAAGTTGCAATAGATGACAGTAACAATGGGACCCAGCAGACTAGTGGGAGAAGGAAGAAGGATACACGTCGGAGAAATCACAACGGAACGGAGATGAATAACAAAAGACAAAAAATGAGAAAAGGTTTGTGCCAAGTTCATGTTCAACTGTGTGTGACATCAGATGCGGTTATACGTTTGTATTGTGGTAATGAAATGGTTGACTGTAGGACAATCTGATGAAGCAGACGCTGCATCAAGGGAAAGTGAACCACCCATGGTATCTGATGATGCTCCATCCCAAACAAGAAATCCTTCAAATCAATTCTTTACACCAAGTATACTCATGCAGGTATAAGATTTTATATATAAAGTTTTTTTTTGGTGGAGAGTTTAACATCTTGTCTTATACTTTATGGTTTCTTGTACTTATAGGGAACTAGTTTTAGTGCTTGTCATCAATTTGGACTTAGCGCAGCACAAGGTTTTCAGGCCATGACTCAATTTGGTCAGGTATACTTTCATGCTATTTGTGAACTATATGCCCTGCTTGCTCCTTTTGAATGATTAAACTTGACCAGCTTCATAACAAAATGCAGGATTCTTCAGCATCGACTTTGCAACAGCCATTCCATGTTGGCACTCACTTGGGTCAGGTATTTTACAGTAATTCAAATTTCTCTATAGACTTTTCTTTTTTTTATTATATTTGATCTATATTTTCCTTTGTACTTACTTGCTAGTCTAATGACAATAGTTCACCATCTTTAATTCCCTTTCCCTCCCGCCCTCTGTGGAAGCACATATATGTTTTATCTAGAAAAGGAAATCCTACTTTGTGTATCAACACCTAAGTTGCATGGGTACGTGTGGGGGTATGGGACACGGCAAATTTGTAAAAAATAGGTTGCGGGGACATGGCTATAAATATGTATGTGGTGTATACTTATATGTATCAAAATTAATAATTTACATGAGTTCAATATTATTTTTTCATATACACGAGATCAATATATTAGAAATAGATGTGGAGTGTGGAATATACATCCAAGAAGTGTATGAGGAGTGTTTCAAATTAGTACATGTGGTATGTAATTGAGTATAAGCTTGAACAAACGTGTGCATATATTCAAGAAGTGTCCAAGAAGTACGGGTATGGGTATGGGTACGGGTACGGGTACGGGTATGTGTCCGCAAATAGAAGTACCCAGGTAACATAGAGCAACACCTTCCATTTTTGTCAGATTATGACAGTATTACTGGCTCATGTGGCATAGGAGGATTAGTATATACATCTGAAATTATTTCGTTGCTAACATAAACAACTAAATTTAACTACCTGATTTATTCCAGAGTACTATGCAGGGTTTTCCAACCCCTGACATGCACCCCCTTCAATTTGTCGGAAGCAATCCACAGCTAGACCAGCCAAGCAGTGACCAAGGGAGCTGTGCTATTCCAGTATGGGATTTCCTTTGAAGTAAGTTCAATTTTTCATCAAAATTTTTTTGTGCAAATTACACAAAATACATTCTTGACCTCGGCAGTTTGTCTGTGGAGACCTTGCACGATTTTCTACCTTGTGCTGGGAATGAATAGAACATAATTAGTAGATTGTTAGAACTCAGGTCTTAGGGCCAGTGAACCCACTAGCTCTTGTAAATTACTAGTACTGCCAAAAGAACTGCAAACTTACTTAACAGCTACATCCATAACTCAAAACACCTTGGGTTTGCCTTCAAGAAAAGATCGTATTTATTTAACAGTCTGGATTCTTTTGATAAATCTGCAGGCTGTTTTTGCTTTTCAAAATTCAGGAGAGGCGCTCATGTGTACAAGAGAGAAGGAACCCTGAAATTGTGGTTAGCTTGCTCACTCTTGCTAAGTATGCGGAGTTGGCGCGTTGTTTGGCTTTCCTCCATCTCATGTGTACATAGCATGTATGTATGTAGTAAAGATGGTCATAGTTTCAGTTTAGATTATGTAACCTGTATTTATCTTTTTCCATCAAAATATTTTCTTGCTTGTACCTTTTATTGTGTGAAAATGTAACTCGCGCTCTTGTTTCATGCTGCATTTTTTTTTATATGAGGATGCCTGCCGCAGTTCAAGGCCACCTCGTCTATATATGAATAAATTCTTCATATGAGATGGTTTATCTTGGAAATAGTTACTTATGAATATTCATTCCATTGGTTTATAATATTTCTGTAACAGGAGCACGACAACATTGTAATACTACATTCTCTGGTGAAGCTTGAAGACAACAGTCATGCATCGGCAGCAAAAGAACCGTATACAAAACTCTACGCTCTACAGTGAACCAAAAATGGGACGATTATAGTCGAAGTACATTTACATCTAAGATGAATATATGCATACAACTCCTGAAGAGAGTTGATGGCTTGCTAGTTGCTACCCGTCGTCTTACTTGTGTGCATTTGTGTAAGCCTGCACCGATCATTTGTCATCGTGTCTTGCTGACTCGCGAGGACAATGTATTTTGCTGCTAACGAAAGGCTTCCAGCATTCATTATTCGCATCCATTATTCAAGTTGCAGTAAACAATCGTGGTTTTCTTGTGCAAAATTCTGAGTTTAACGGAGTTATATGGTGCTTATACGAACAAGCGGTTTATCAAAATTTTAACTTTGTCTTTTAGCTCATCTGAGTGATTTTGTCTCTTAAGAAGAATTTATGGGTGATTTGATTTGTACTTACTCTTGTGACCTTGTCAGGGAGATAAATTTTTATTGGGATGCTTCGAATAGTTTCCTTTGCATTTTGTGTTTCTATCAATTTCTCTTACTGATGATAGCTACCTAGCTTTTAGCTGTTCCAGCACTATCGTCGATAGCTGGCACCAAAAGATTACATGATTTTGTATAAACAATATATAAAAAATGAAAAAGTCGAGCAAAAGTTATCTTGCATATCAGATTAATGCTTAATGATATTAAGGTCGATGCATTTAACAGTTACTTTTGTAAAGAATGCATGAAAATAATTATACAAAAAGAACCCAATACACTGGATATCAAACTAGAAACTCATCCTTCATTTGTATCTAACTAAACAAGGAACATACATATAGCTCTGTCTATTTACAGATAAATTAACTACTCTAGGAGCAGTTGATGCATGAGATGGTAAGATCCAAATTCACGTCTCCCTTAATTTCAACTTCATCTTCTTCGAGGCCACTGAATTCTTCAGACGCGTCGAACTCAATACTAGAACCCCAGTCACTGGTTTCTTGGTAATTTATAGAAGACAACGTCAGATCGCAAGCGTTCATCTGAATCACCTACAATGTAAATGCATAGAAACTATCAATTTCTTCAGATTTCTCAATTGCCTTAAAAAAAAACATTTTGGAAGTTTGAAAATGCATGGAGACTGACCTGCTCTAGTTTGTTCTGTTCTAGCGACAAACCTCTTCGCATCTCATCGAAACACGACCTGTATAGAAGTGAACCCTTGAGAAACATTGTGACATGAAAAACTTATCGCTAGTCAGAATTTTAAGGTAGTCAAGTGATCATTGGACCTTGTGTTTGGGTGCAGTCTCTTTTGCTTGTTTAGATCTTCGGTCGATAGAAATACATGAAAGTTTGTTTGGTTTTCGCCCATGCTTCTGTACATCTGCAAGAGGAAGACGCATGATTAATTTTTCTATATATGTTTTTTTTTTTGTTGCATTATGATAATTACATGATCTGATGGAGCAATGAAGAATACGTAAATCTTCGGCTGATAGAAGTACATGAAAGTAGCATTGATTTCCAGTTCTTAATTAATTAGCCTTTGTGTTTGCTATTGAAACACAACTCACATTTTCTGGATTCTAACTTAAAATTGGTTACAGTTTCTTGATTCTAATTTGGTAAAAAGGAAATGGTTATGTGCTATATTTAATTTTGATATATGGTCGTACAAGTAGTGCATGTTAATTAAGTTCTAAGTTACTTACCTGATTGAGCTTCCAATTGAGTGTGACAGTAACTAGCTAGATTTGTACTTAATGCATGCATGCGTGGGATAAATATATAACAGTTGCATTAGCAATCTCTCCTCACTATATTTAAACAGGATTTTCAATGAAAACATGCAAGTTTAAAAAAAAAAACTAGAGTCTGGAATCGGATATATATGCGGCCTTAAAATTCCAGTTCGGATATATTCGAACTTTTTTCTGGCGCCGGTTAATTTGCTCATGGCATTTTACCGACCAAATATGCATTTGTTGCTGCACATGCATGCGGGTAGAGTTGAAGGAGGTAATTTGATGGTGCGGGGAGTACGTACTGGAGGCATATGCAGCATATATTGAAAGGGATTATAATTCAAATGGCTCAAAAAACTTAATAATTAGTTGCGTAATCTCATTGTCGAATCTAATGCTTTAACTTGGAGGATATCAAAGAAATATTAATTACTAGCAATTGCCCTTGCTTCACTATGTATATATGGGCATATTGTGGATATGCTATATATCAAGATGGAGAGTAGCTAGCTAGTAGCTAGCTTTCAAGATTGTGTGTTCTAGCTAGCTAGCTAGCACATATTCAAAAGAGAAAGTAATTAACCATATAGCTAATTAATCAATCAGCTAATGAGGGTTTATCACTTTCGGATGCTATATATATATGTACGTACTGGCAAAACCAAGCTCCATGCATGGTTTATTTTACATATGCATGCATGCTCGAGAATGACGCAACGTGCATTTGAATGCAATGAGGAGGAGTTTATAAATTAATTAAGTTGTACGTAGTTCAGACGGCATTTTACTTATTAAACAGTTATGCACAACTGTATCATTGTATATGGCTTGAAACTATATATACGCGCAGTTGGAAATTCACTAATTTCATCTCCAACACGCAATCAAATTAACACATAAAATAGAAGAAATTTGTAAAATAGACCTACTTTTCTAAATATTTAGCAAAACAGACCGTTTTGCTAAATATTTAGCAAAATAGACATCTTTTTGACCAACAGCCAAAAAAAGGTCGATTTTATAAAACAAATCATTCGAAACATACGGGACTAGTAGTCCCGTATGATTTAATGGAGGATTAAATCATACGGGACTACTAGTCCCGTATGTTTTCGAATGGTCTGTTTAGCAAAATCAACCTCTTTTTTGCCTACAGGTCAAAAAGATGTCTATTTTGCTAATTTTTCCCATAAAATAACGAGGATCGAACACGAGAACTGTCTTGTATACACATTTAATTAAGCCTACACAATTTTAGATTTGCGATTGCTAACGGCATAGTGCTCGTACTTCAAAAAGTAATAGCGTGTATGCGTATACATATATAAGCGGGGCAAAATAATGAGAACAAGCTCTAATTAAAACCTGCGCGCAGCTCTTACACAGACACAAAATTAAATGGCTAAATGGCACTCAGATATCCTGTAGTTTGACCATTTTTGCACTTTAATACTGAAGTTGTAAAAAATAGTACTTTAATACCTGAAGTTGTTAAAAATTGGCACAATAGTACCTTTCGGTAGTTGTCATGGAAATATTTCTAGGAACATATCCTGACAACTAACAAAATGTATTAAAATGCTACTTTTTATAACTTAGAATATTTAAGTATAAAGGTAGTGAAATAATAGGGTATTAAGTGTCAGTTTTTTATAACTTAAGGTATTAAAACACTACTTTTTTACAACTTATGGTATCAAATTGCTAATTTTTACAACTTAGGGTATGTAATTAAGTATAAATGTGGTGAAACAATAGGGTATTTAAGTGCCATTTAGCCAAGTTAAATTGGGCCAGTTGCATAAAATGAACGTGTCAACGGGAAAATAAGAATAAAAAAGAAATAAAAGATAAACTAATTTATGCAATGTGTACTGTAATTGTTATATCCAAGGTAAAAAGACACCTGAAGATGACTTTTGATATGAGATATGCTCAGTCCCTTCACACCCATCAGCTGTAAGATACGCTTTGGTGTTGCTTCTGTAGATGTAATTAAGCAGCATAAATCAGAATATAGTTAAGTTAGCCAAAAGTAAAATAATAATAATAATAATAATAATAATAATAATAATAATAATAATAATAATAATAATAATAAAGAAATACAGTAATAAATCAATATTATCTTTCCCTTGATTTCATTAATATTTGGTTTCTCCTAATTCTTCTGCAATATATTTAATTGTCATCATTTTGTTTATTAATTTTTATATATATCCCTTCATATGATATGAATATCCATTTTTCTCTTATTTATATGAACTTATTAATTGGTCCTTGATCACGCTCTATAATATATTTCATTTATGTTAACTGTAATTGTGTTTAGTCTTTTATGATGTGTCACATTATCGTGTACAAATGATCCAACAAATATTTGTCACTGCATATGAATATATAGGATTGGAAAACTTTAGACCTAATGATGGATATATCATGAGAATAATGGATTTGATGCCACGATCCTGAAAAATTCTTAATTCTGATAATAGCAAGTGTACGTTTTAATAGTCTGCAGGCTATAATTAATCTCAATTAGACTAGCATTAATCTACCTTAAACCGTCTACTTAAGGTATCTTTTAATTTGTCTGTAAGTAATTTTCTTCTTTAATATGAGAAACGAAAACAATATCTCTTGTCAAAACAAAAAAAAAAAAAAATCAGTTAATTATAAGATATAGTATATATGCTCTGAGAGTGCTGTATAATCAAATCACTAAAAAAAAGACAATTAGCTTAAATTAATAGACAGGAAATATGATCTATATGCATGCTAGACTCAAACCCTAGCCAAATTAACTTACTTTTTCCTCCTCCAAGGCATTCAACAGCCTCGACGAAGCGTCGATGGAGCTCCTCCGTCCACCGGAGCCTCGGTACATCCGATCTATTGTACTGTCTCACTCTCCTCCCATTTCCCCTCATCATCTCTACTCCTGTACCAAGCTATCTAGTCTTTTGTGAGATGTAATAAGCTAGTATATAGAAAACCTTTGGAATTAAGATAACTAGGTTTGGCTGCCCTAATTATTATTATTATATATATATATATATTGTGAAGGCAAAGAAATTACTAAAGGAAGGAATGTGGCCTATTTTTGACCAAGTCCAGTCAAATATACAGCATGCTCATTGTTCTCTAAAAGGTTGAACAGAAACCCTAGCTTGAGATATTTTGGAAAGAGAATTTTGAGACCACTTTTTGGTAAGATGAGTCGACATAGCAGTAATTTGACGATTGCTTGAGCTTCTAAAGTTGACAATAAAAGAACCTTGTGCTAGTTGGTTTACCTCTTTAATTATGAGGGTATAAATATATATATATATTGATATTGTCCACGTTTTAACCATGCAAAAATCTTTATATAATGGTAACTATATATCTTTCTCAGGAAGGATTTAAGGGTTCAATAGAAAAATAAACAACATTATATATGTTCATTAATTTATCTCCTCACATTTTTTGGAACCTTTTAATTACTAAAAATAGTTAATGTTAATCTACAATGAAGTTAATGTATTGATGATTTGAGCTCTCTGACCAATTAAGTTTCCCTGATTAGGCTGATACGCACGTCATTTCATGGTTTTAAGACAAAGATAATCTCATTTTAGTACTGATCATACCAAGAAAAATCAGCTGCATGTACACGTATAATATTGAAGTCAAAGAAAATTATTAACATCGAACAAGAGCAAGAAGGGGCACTAATTTTTTTCTATCATAATCAGAGACCAAGGAAGCAATAACTCATGATTTACTAACAATATGACAATCTCTTTTTTATTCTCTCTCCGTATTAATTATCTTTTTTTAATGGTGTTAAGAAATTATTGTAACTGTCTCTAGCTAGTCTCTGAGTAGCAGTACAAATTAACAAGGGACTTATGCCTTGGCCCCCATGACATTTTGTTATATTATGTTGATCTAACAATAATTTTTTTAAGGAATTAAATCACATTATTTATTTTCTAATTCCAAAAAAAAAATCTATAAGGCTTTGCTAGCTAGGAAGGAGGAGGAGCTCTAGCATATATAAGAGGGGCATCCCTAAGAACTTTAATCTCGTATTAGGAGACAAGTATATATATACGCTCAAAAGAACCTAGTTATGTTATTGCATATATCTAATCACTTTGAGCCTCCAAAGATTGAGGTAATTATAATTAATGTTACAAAATCTTATCACAATGTTAATTGAGCTTGGATTCTTCAAACAAAATTTACTCTCATTTGTCATTGTTAATTTCCTAGAGCCTTTAAAGGAATAATTGGAAAGTGACAAAGCATGGACATGTAAGTCAATATTTGGGACTTTACTGAAAACCAAACTTCCAATGCAAAGTCATTTAATAATTCCTTTCCTCATTCTCATTTCAAATAGTGGCGGTGCCGACCTTTAGACCTCCTCCTTTAATTTGATTTGCCATTTTCCTACCCTTACATTCTCAAGTCTTTTTGCTTACCTAGCTAGCTATTAATGTCTACACTTATTAATTAGAGAAATATTTTATGTGAAAAAAAATGTATGGGCAACGTAGACTATAATTATGGCAATGACCAATATGTCATGGTCCATTATTGATGAAATCAACGCATATGGTTTGTGTCACATAATCACATTCACTAGTTATATATATTTGACATATATAGTTGCTATATAATTTAACAAGACCTTGAAGAACAACGTAACCGAAATTTTAATTAGACCATGTCATGGATGATTATTTTCCCCCGGTTTTATTGTTTTGAAATTTTAATTAGTACCCATGTCATGGAGGGGTACTAATGATCTACCTAAAAGCTAATTTAGGAAAAAAAATATTTCAAATTTTAGCTCCGTGCATATAATAATATTTGAGAAATATATAAATATCCAACTTGGCCAAAATATCAAGAAAAATCCCTTTTATAGTCTAAACTTTGTTTTGTGGTCTCAGCCACAGAGATAAGGGATTATAAACGTGGGATTTATTTGTCAGAGGATGGGACAGGGGGACTTGATTATTGGTGAAATAACCCTGATTAAGATTCCCTTAATTTGACCAGCCTGCAGTCTTATAATTAATCTCTTTTTAATTATTAATTAAAGTATTACTCTTTTAATTATATCTTATCTGTCTTTAATTTTCTGTGAGATGATGAATTAAGTAAGAAGTTCAATTTTGTCCTCTCTAATTCTTGCTTGATAGTGGGAAAAAAATTATATTACTCCTTTCATATCTAAGAAGATTATGGTTCTTTTCAAAAAAATTAACTCTGTGAGATAATTAATTAAAGTATTACTCTTTCAAATTATATTACTCTAAGAAGATCATATATAATCATTCATCAGATTAGTGCACCATGCTTATATCCACTGCACTCATATATATCATCATTAATTGCATCTCAGTCAAACTTTTAGTGTTAAGTTGCACTACAAGTAAATTATAAGATTCCTTACTCTTTTATTGGTTGGTGAGATCCAGACAGTTATCCAGCTCCATACTCTGACTAACTTGACATGATTAATTAATTAATTAGAATATATATTTGAAGGTTGCTAAGTTGATTTTTCAAATTACAACTCCCATTGTGTGTAAGTTTGAAATTCTAGCCTACATTTATATATTGGATATGCACGCACGGAACATACATGAAGAAAAAGACAACAATTTCTCGCATCAAATTCTAATACAATACAGTAAAATTACCTAACCAAAAAAGAACTATTAATGAAAACAAAAATCAAGTAGGCTCGTTTCTTTGCTTGATCATAGAATAGTTTTAGGCTCTGTTTGGCAAAACTAGCTGAAAGCTGCGAGATTATAGCTGAAAGCTGTTAAGCTAGCTGAAAGCTGTGAAATTGTAGCTGAAAGCTGTTAGCTGTGTAGCTAGCTGATTGACTAGAGCTGTTTGGCAAAAGTAGCTGTACAACTAGCTTAAGTTTGTTAAATGACTAAAAAAAGACATGCAATATTATTGATATAAAATTAGAATTATTAGGGGCAAAAACGAAAGACAAAAATTGACAGCTCATTCCCAAAGACAAACGCTACTTGAGGTAGCTTTTCAAAAGCTACTTGCAAAAGACACAATCACTAAAATAATCTCCTCCTATTTTTTGTCACCAAACAGCTCTACTAGCTTATTGACCAAGTCAATAAGACACAAGCTCTTAGATAAGATATTTTTTTTGGTTGCCAAACAGTGCCTTAGAGTACACCTCACTCCATTAGAATCTTCTGTGTACTATGCTCTCACTTTAATTAAAAAATGGTTTAGACCCCCTATTTCCCTTAAAAATTAACATACTCCTCAAATTAAAAAGGAAAGCTGTACAATAAGCTTTCGTGTAGTTTATGTTATCTCCATCTTTTGTGCTTGCTTTTGGATTGTAGGATGCATGGGATGTTGATGATGCACTCAACTTTTCCTTTGATCTCTTCATCATTGATTTTGAGTTCTTGGTGCCATATATACTAATCAATTCTTAATAATCAAAGTGTGAAGAGGGGTTGTGTGAGGGAATTTTACAAAAGGTAGCTAATTAGAATGTGGTGATAGTAGAGTGTTAGGTATTGAAACCTAACATATCGAACTAAAGTTAAAAAAAAAAAGAATGGTTGATTGGAGCGTTTGGGCTATTGATTTTTTGTAGTACTCCCAAACCCAGGGCTAGGGGAGTAGGGTTAGGTATCCTTTATTGGCTTTTGGAAATGCCCTTTTAGATATTGATATTAACTACCTCTATGATGATATTGTTAGAAATTAAGTGGGTGTTTGGTAACTTGCAACTGGAGTGGTTACAACTCTAGTTACATGCAACTGGGTAAAATTTGTCCAGTTGTAAGCGTTTGTTTTGTTGCAACTCATAGTTGTAGCCGCAACCACAGTTACAAAACAACTCTTAGTTGCAATATATGACATACGTTAAAAATGACGTCAAGCCAAGGTTGCAACTTAATTGAAACCCATATTTATTAAAAATCAAAGTCATTATTTAATATTTTTTTTAATTTATTAAAGATTTAAAATAATCTTTTAAAAATTACTTTATAATATTTTCTTTTTAAAATTTAAAAAATGAAGTTATTTAAAAACATTTTCCCTAAAAAATGTTTTTTTTTGAAAGTACTATCTTAAAAAATATTTTTATAAGATAATTTTTAAAAATATAATTATTTAAAAAAATATGTTTATTCTAGGAAAAAGATATTACTCTTATAGAAAATATTACTATTCATAAAATATATTATGTTCATAAAATAATATTTTTCAAAAAATATTATTTTTGAAGAAATAAATTGATAAATAAAATATTTTTAAAATATATCATTTTTAAGATAATATAATTTTCTTAAAATAATATTTCATAAATAATATATATTTTATAATAGTTACTTTAAAGTAATATATTATTTTTTAACATAGTATATTATTTTTTTCCAAGGAGATAACATATTCATAAAATATGTGATTTTAATATACGTATATATATAATATATATAATATATATATATATATAGTACATCATTTAAAATAAAGTGTGAAATGATATAAAATAATAATCTAAATATATATTTTAAATGGATATGAAATAGCCAAAGTTAATATAGGTTTAGAAACTTAGAAAATGAAAAATTTAGAAAAAAAATTTTAAAAACTTACAGGGTTGATCATCGGAGCCCTTGGGGTCGTGTGGTGGGCCGCCGAGGGGGGTAGTAGGCCGGGTCGGGTCGCAATCCCAGACCCAAGATTAGAGAAAGTAGGGCGATCGGCTGCTACGGACGCGCGCGCTGGCACCAGGTCATACCTCCGCCCAGCCTTGAACCCAGCGGGCCGGGTTACGTGCCTGAATCAACCTAGCTCACGCCCAGCCCTAACTTAAACGGTTCTTAACCTTACAGAAAATTCACCACAACGAATCAATGACAAAAGCTAACATTTAAAATTTTAACATGTTATAAGGCAATCAGGCAACAAATTTTGAAAGAATTATACATAA